TAGCAGTCGCTTTGGATAACTCGCCAGCATGGGTAGGCGGGAACAAAGACATCACACCACATAACAAACTCACGAGATTCCGAGAAGTTCTAGAAACACAAACAACTATGCAACAGTAGGGAAACGTGGCACACCCAGTTGCCCTAAGTGTCGTTTGAATCACGTGTTATCGGCGTGTAAGAAACTGGTGCAATTAGGAGTTCCGGATCTTTGGGAAGCAGTCAAGAGGCATGGTGCGTGCTTTATCTCTTTGAACGGCTCTTATTGTGCGGCCGCTTGTAGGAACCGTGGCATATACAGTGAAAAGGGGTGTCAAGGAATCTACCATACTCTCTTGCATTCTATAAGAGAAACCCAGTTACTGGCACCCCCTAAACCCAGGGTATGTCTACTATCTCAATCGGGGGACAAGCAGGTACGTTTCGGGGTAACACCAGCGGGCATATTAGCACCCAGTGGGATGGTGAAGTCGATGGCGTTTATTGACAACGGGTCCGATACCACGTTGAGCAACAAGCGCTTCGCCGTAAAAACCCAATATCACAACCAGACAATCTTCCCTAACGATCAGCACTGTGAACGGTACCAAGGCGACGTCCGTTGATCAATCAAACGTCACGTTGGATTCGCTACATAATTGTGAACGAGTTGAGATGACGGAAGCTTTCACCATCGCCGACTTGCCAATGCCAGCAGTGGAATCGATCGGGAAATTAGCAACGCGCTGGCCACACCTGCGAGACTTGTATTTCTCGAAATTTCTCCCAAATTCGATTTTCTAACAGGATGCGATGTTCTAGAAGCACACTTGGTCCTGGACCAGAGACTGGGCGGCAGGAAAGAACCATGTGCTACTCGCACTATTTTCGAAGGGACATTGTTTTGATTGCCACATGCGGCAGATCGCAAACTGTTATCAGTTAACTTTACCACCACCACAGCTGGCAACGATACGATCGTACCAGCAGCACCACAGAGAGCCAGGGAGGATACGCGTGGTTGCTGCTGCCACACGCGCCCCCAACGGTACTGTAACTAGCGGCACCGAACACCCAGTGACTCAGCCAGCATACCGAGTGGCCTCCGACTCCGGGCTACCACCCCGAGCGGCCGTCGTCGAAGACCAGCGACGAGAACGCCCATCAAGACAGCAATGCTTCCTAGCCGTCAATATGCCGGAGTCCACGGAATCCACGGTGCACGTCCGGCTAGACGCGGGCATTTCATTGCTTTGAGAAGTCATGGCCAGATTCTCCGTCCTTGGCGAGTAAATTCAGGCCCAGGCGATACGAGTGATAGCCACTTTCGGGCTGGGAGCTAAATGGGAGGGCAGCGCCCTCCGTCCGCTGGAGGTCCTTTTTGGGTCAGTGGAAGAAACCAGGTCCGTATTTCACAGCGACTTCCGCCTGAAAAGGAATCCCATCAGGCTAAAGTGCGATCTCGACTCGCACGAACGGCAGAAGCTGAAGTAAGCATTAGACGAGCTCCACTAGCGTCGATCCAATGATAAACAAGATCTCTTCATCTGGGATTTTCGGGGCCAGAGGAGCTACCTGCATTTCCGATGGAGCCATCTTGCAATACCGGACTGAGAGTCTTCTCCGGCGTACACCGGAGGGACGCGCCAACGGCTGCCATCGACAGGCGCAGCCGTGCGTGCATTGTGTCCACCAATGTACGTAGTGTCCTGAACAAACGAAACGAGTTGGATGCGTCTTTTATGGAGCACTCCCCGATGGCAACCGCCCTCATCGAAGCCTGGCTTAACCCAGACGCCCTTGAGTCTGAAGTTTCTCTCTCGGGGTGTGCGTCATTCCGTTCGGATCGAGTACAACCGGGGATGGGTGGGAGAGTCATGCTGTTCATCGACGAAAGTGTGCCGGTTACCCACCTCCACAGTTACGCGGATCCTGACGGTCAGGAAAGAGGCGTTGTGATGCAAAACCAAACTCTGTTGCAACGGTTACACGATGATTGGAGTCTGCTACAGCCGCCAGAGACAGTCCCGGTGGCCATTCTGGACGATATGCGTCGACGGACTAGCGACGGTCACTGTCGGATTTTGGGTGATTTCAATGTACCTCTCATTGACTGGGACGAAAATCGCTGCCTGCCAGGAGCGGACCGATTCTCCAAAGACCTCCTCGCAGTCGTGAACCAGTTGACCATGCACCAGAACTTCCTCGAGCCCACCAGGCTCAACGATTCTGCCCATTCAGTCCTTGATCTTGTGTTATCACCTCGAACATCGGACGTTGATGTCATTGACTACCTTCGGGATCGGCGTTATGGAATTAGTGACAGCCTTTTCTCCACCTGAACGCTTCCTGTCACAAGTTATGGGCCCTCTGGTTTGACCACAACCTCCGTCAGATGCTTTTATAATATCGGTTTCTCACTCTTAGCTCTCCGTTCTATTCACTCCTTTAAGTTTCTGTTGACACATAATCAATGGTGAAAGTAGTCCGAATAGCGATCCCCAAGCTCTCCAACAGACCTTCACCCGCCCGCAAAAGAGACAATGAGAGTAAATGTGGGAACACAAAGGGCCGTTCAGGTACAGTGAAGGAAGATATACAATGCAACACTTGCTGCGTTTGGTATCACATCAAATGCAGTGGGCTATCCGAAGTGAGCTATGGAGTGTATAAAAAGTTCAAGAGCCTAACTTAAGACTGTGTCTCTTGTAGGACACGCATGAAGAACTTAGTCTGACTATGTCAGAAGGTTGAAGGGGAATGTGAAGAAATGAGCAGCGACAAAGATATCAAGGAAAAAGAGGCAAGCGAAGAAGCCTCCGGTACTCCTATCAGAAGTGCCACCTTGAGCCCCAGAAATGATAGTGAGGGTGAGTCGTCACCGAAGTCCTTAAATAATAATGCAGTAAACTCTGAAACTGTTCTAACAGCTAGAACTGCTGATAAACCATTGGAGGGGAAGAAGANGAGAAAAAACCTTAAGAAACCACTAGGTGCGCCTAAAACTGAAACACCAGGCCACACGCATACTCAGGACATAGGGAACCAATCCCCAAAAGTAGTGGTCTCAGAACTGATATCCGGCTTCGTCGCGGTAGAGTAGGAAAACAGGAGGTTAGAGGTTAATCGAACCCAACTCCAGAATTCCAGCGACACAGCATTGGCAGGAGTAG